GGATATCTCTGCATACCCGGAAGAGACAACTAAGATGAAGAAAGACGCAGATCTCGTGGGTAGTATCCGTTGAAAGGCATCATGAGGGCTGCATTTTCGCTTTCCCATACTACCTTTACTTCCTTTTACCACTGCTCGTTATCACAGCAAAGCACAGGCTTCCTTCCTCTAGGTTCCATTATTATGGCACATGGTGCCCCGAGAAATACCAATGTTCCATAACAAGAACCTCTCCACCATTTTTTTTTATCAGTTTGACAGAGCATCAGCCAACTGTCCTTACTGACAAATTCAGCTAAACAGTAGCCATGGGTAAGCTATTGCTGCTATTAAAATGTAGTTTTTGGGATTAAGACTAATCTTAATTATGGAATACTAACTCAAGGCTATTGTCAAATGCTCTCCTCTCACCCTACTCTGATGTCCTAATGTAACAACATCTGTAAAAAAGAACTAGCTGTACTTATTTTGCACATAACAGCATGGACAAACGAGCTGCATGTTCTAAGGTGGCGTATCCACAACCACAGCTGGAGTTCCGAAACCAGGAAGGAAAAGGAATCATACTGGATACGCCGCCTTAGAACATTGAAACCAAGCGGTCTAAACCAAGAAGACTAGAAAATGAAAACTATGTACTAGTAGAATTTAACCTTTTCTAAATCTTCTTATTATCCTTCAATTTTTACTATAAGTATAACCGGTATAGAATCAAATATCTGGAATATAATCTTCGTTACATAAATGTACAAAAAGTAAAAATACATGTCGCTTTGGCTTGTAGACTTTTAGGGAATTATACACTGTTTTTAGTCTCCGCAACTAGTCTATACAAGCTGGTTGTATTTATAGTTTTAACACATGTGGAGACAGCCATGTAGAGGTTTACAAACATGTTTTTGTGTTTGTTTGTTGTATATGTTTTGTATTTGCCTTTGAAAAAGACTCATTAAGAGTCGAAAGCGCTTAGGCTAGTTAGTTACTAGTTTGGTACTGTTCGCCGTCAGTTTATTGCATCTATTTTAATAAATCCCTGACACACGTGAGCCCTTGGTGGATCCAGTACGCTTTAAAGGGTTGTTATTCGCCTTATGATTTGTATTCTTTATATATATATATATATATATATATATATATATATATATATATATATATAATTTGTATTGTGTGATTGACCACTATGATTGAGTGTACAAGTTTGGGCCTACATGCCTAATGTCATGTAGGGTAAACAGGTTTACTTGTTTACAAGTTCTAGATACAGCCTTGATTCTAACCATTGAATTTTCAAGAAACAAATTCTGTTCTGTTTGATGGAAATATTCATTATATGACTCTCATCAAATTGTGTCTTAAGTTTTTATATTAAGGCTGATAATATTGAAAACACTCATTCCTACCTTAATATCTTAAGTGGAGTTGTGTTCAGTTTTAATTTATTTAAATTATTCACTGAATTACAAAAGGTCTGATATTTTCAGACTAAATCTCTATTTGGGGATTATTCAATCAAGGTAATTTCAGATGACATCAATGTAAAACATTGAGACTTGGCACAGCACCACATTCCAGGCTATTAGTGCAACAGTACTTACAAGACTGAAATTCATTTTAACACCACTGTAATTCACATGGAATACACTATTCTTTTGGACTTGTGATAGAACTTTTAAGACTCTCTGGGATTTAAGTAATGATACTGTAAGTTTCCTTTTAAATTTTCACTGTATTCAAGGGAAATAAATCATTTGCTCTAGTTTCCAAAATTTGTTTTCATTCTTTTCTGTAGTTTAAGATCCTAGTCATGGCATGCTGCTCCTCCTGAATGGATGATCATATTAGCATCGAGTTTTCACTCAAAGACTTCTTAGTTGGTCTTAAATCAAAATGGTGTCGATCTGATGTCCAATATATCCTACTCATTAACAAAAATAACTATTGCCACTGGGGTTTCACAAAATCTTTTATGATGTCCAGATGTTCCAACGTTAATAAAAATGGTTCTGAACTGATGTCCAATATGGCAAGAACTGTCATCTTGAAATACTTTTATCACTACTCCTGAATGTATGATAATTTTACTAAACAACTTTTAGTGATATCCAACTGGTCCTAATTGAAATTAGACATCCAATATGACCACTGTGGTGGACATTTTAAAAATCTTGCAATCACCCTTTATCCTGAATGAATGGACTATCAGCTTGATGTTTTTGCTGCAAGGCTTCTTATACTGTTTGGTTCATTGCAAATGAAAATGGTGACAACTTCAAACCTGGCTGACACACTGTGCATTTTGAAAAGCTTAATACTACTTCTCCTTCACGGCTGGTAATTTCGACATGTGCTTTCACAAGACTTTTTATGATATCTGTTTGGTTGTAAATGGAAATGTTACAAATTTGATATCAACACCCATTTTGAAAATCAAGTTATTATTATAAAAAAATGAGTCAATTAACATGGGGCTTCCAACCAGCAGACTTCTTATGTCTTTTTTAAAAAAATGAAAAAGCTGCCAATCTAACAGTCAATATATCAACAATGGCAGTTAATTTGAAAATCTTGTTATTGCTGAATAATATTCTATATAGTTTCAACACTCAGAAGTTAAAAGGAAGAAATAGTCTTATCCTGAAAATCCTGGAGATTCTTTGCAGTACAGTATCAATCCCTTCAAGGAACTGCTGTTCTTTCCATTTGATCTTTTAACTTCAAGATCCATAAGCATGATCTGTAAGTTTTCCCTTACCTCAAGCGCAAGTCATCCAACTATAGATAGTGGAGAATCAAGTTTATTACACAAAAACCATTTTTCTTATAGCAACAAATTACCTTAACATTTCAACCTTTGACTCTGAAATCAATAGCAGGTGTATAAAAACTGCAGCATTAGATGCTTTATGAGTGCCAGACAACGGGACAAATATACATCACAGTAAATACAGCTTCAACTCCGACCTGACTTTTGGACAAATGCAATAAAGCATTTTTCAGTTTCTTTATAGTTATGCCAATCAGTGGGTGAAGTAGTCTCCATTTTGTAGTAAAATGTCTATTGCATCAAAATTTTAAGGTAGGGTTAAAAATGTAAAATGTGTTTTGTCGTCAGTAATCTCTTAATCTAATGGAACAGGAGACTCATTTGAGCTAGATAGTACAAGATTGTAGCACTGACCTTAATCTGATGTGTGGATGCTTTTTATTTAGCCATTAACTAAATGACTAATACTGACCTTAATCTAGTGTGGATACTTTTTTATTTAGTTAACAACAACTTAATACTTAATGAGTAACTGACTTAATACTGATCTTAATCTAGCGAGGATGCTTTTTATTTAGCTAATTGGTAAATGACTTAATACTGACCTTAATCTAGTGTGGATGTTTTATATTTAGCTAATGGGTAATGACTTAATACTGACCGTAATCTAGTGTGGATGCTTTATTTAGCTAATGAGTAAATGACCTAATACTGACCTTAATCTAGTGTGGATGCTTTATTTAGCTAATGAGTAAATGACCTAATACTGACCTTAATCTAGTGTGGATGCTTTTTATTTAGCTAATGAGTAAATGACTTTAATACTGACCTTAATCTAGTGTGGATGCTTTATATTTAGATAATGGGTAAATGACTAAATACTGACCTTAATTTAGTGTGGATGCTTTTTTTTTAGCTATTAAGTAAATGACTTAATACCACACTTAAATCTAGTGTGATGATGCTTTTTAAAGAGCTAGAGAGTAAAAGACTCTAACACAAGTGTGGATGGACATACTGACAAATGGACGTGTACACTCTATTGGAAAACTACTAATCAAAAAAAGGAACATTTCAACTTTTTAAAGATGTGTATTCATCTAGCTAGAAAAGAAAAGTTAGGAACAGAGGACAGCATTGGAAACAAGAAATTAAATAAATCATGAGAAGAGCTGGCATCAGTCATTCTATCACATGATCAGCAATCTGTTCTTTAAACTCAACTGTTTTCATACTTATTTCCTAAATTCTCTTAAAGAGAGTAGTCTAATTAGGTACATTTTTTATGCCTGGCACTAATTATTAAAAGTGAAACAACTGATACATATCAGTTTATACTAAAATACATTTCCGACAATAAAAAACTAGACATTTTAAGATCATGATAAAGAAGCTGTTGTACTTATGATTACATTTTTTTGTAACTTAATGGGGATCATTAAGTGAAAAGCGAGTCCACTAAAGGGCCTAAATACATTACAGTAAAAATAAATCAATAACACTTTACTATAATAGATGTCTCCATGTACAGATACTCTGTGTTGGTCTCAATTACATTTCAGCTTAATTAATTTTAACACTGTGAATATCTTAATTCTATTTCTGGGTCCTGCGCTTGCTTTAATGAGTCCGCAGGATACCATCTTTGAACATAGTCAATGTAATGGTAGCAAGGTTGTCCAATCAGATTCCAGACAGCTTTGTTAACATGCATCTAAACTACTCATAAACAAATTCATTTGAGATCTTAAAAATGGAAGCTCTCATGCATTTACAACCTTTGTTCAAAATATGACAAGCTACTAAAGTGGTAACAAAGCTTGATTGTTTAAATGTCAATGTCTCTATAACTGACATGTATATTAATTTTGATTTGTCAACCTTAAAAAGTTTTTTTTTTATAAAAAGTTTTGTTAAAAACTACCTTAATAGCTCAAAATTGTGTTTTATAAATAATCCAAAATGGGCTTACTAATATAAATATCTCAAGTCATTTTTACTAAATTGTCCTAACAATAATTTTCTCAACAAAAAGAAAACTGCTTGAAAATGTAATGACCATTATAAAATTTAACAAACAGTTTTGTGCTGTCAAAGATTCTGGACTGTAGTCGAGCAATATATTGTATGAAAGTAAAAAAAAAAGATCTGATAGAAAACTGATCTTTAGATTGGTACCATGGTCAATAAACCAAATGCATCAGTATTATCAGCACACAATATTCTTAATTATTTAGACCGCTTCTGTGGCCTAGTGGTTAAAGCGTTTGCCTTGGATGTGGGAGGTCATGGGTTCGAACCACAGTAAAGTCATACCAAAGACTTTAAAAATGACTTAACAGCTGCCTCACTTGGTGCTCAGCAATAAAAGGTCTAGTATTAGGACTGGTTGGCCTGGTGTCAGGATAATGTGACTGGGTGGAACATCATGCTACACGTCTGTGACATGATACTCCAGTGCTAGACATCACTATAAACTGTCACACTGCAGACATCGTAGCAATATGACTGAAAAATTGGTAAAGCTACGTTAAAAATCTAAATCCCACAAATTCTTAATTAAATTCCTCTGAGATCTTAATAATGTAACGTAAACAAGTTTGAGCCTGATCATACTGGCAAATCTGATCATACAACAAGCTTAGCCAATTGGATGCTTGATTGTCTTATTCATATGTTCTATTACTGATAAATGGAACTAATCCGAGCTCCTGATGATAAAAGTTATATATTTTGATGCAAATCAATCATGCATTAAGATAAACATGATTTGTGAATAAAATTTAGAACAATTAAAAAAGCTTTACACAAACAATACATGTATTATATATCTACAATAAAACTCATCTTCTCCAACACTGGCTATATATCAAGGTTGTGAAACCTGTCATGTACCAATTAAATAGACAAGATGAGATCTACCTGAAAGCTTTTCTCCATTCTTGAAAATTCATTATTACAGTATCAGACAACATTATGATGTTCACTTTAAATCTGGAAATTCTTATTGATAATGAATTTAAAAGTGTTGCTGGTTTCCCAAACATCAACACAAGCACACAAATGCCCTCAAACTTTTGAACATCAAAAGATGGGTTTTTTTGCATTCTTTTCCAGCAAATATTCCTATTAATTTACTCATTATTTTCATAGTACATAGTATCCAATAAACCAAGATTCCCACCGATTTATTTTAATTTATGTTGTAGTATTAAATAGACTTTTGCACTAATAATCATCTTAATCCTTATTGTAAAGTGAAATGTTTCAAGCATATATAAAAACAACTTTTTTAGTAAATTATGTTTCTCTGATAATACATTACCTGATCACATTAATATCAGGATTACCCTCTGCTACCCCAAATCTACAATCGTTGAAATAAAAAAAAAATTACCCGTTCGTTAATCTTTCAGGCCATATAACACAGAAAGGGAAGTAACTCCTTCAACTCCTACTGAAGCCTTTTTGGTGTCCACTTGAATCCCAGATGAAACCAGGTTTTACTTGACCGAGCCCTCGAATTGCTTGTACTGCTTGTACTGCGGTCAAGTTTGGGAGGTTTGCATACATAATTTTATCTGGTAAGTATTTTCTGATCTATTTATTATTATTATCAAACAAACATTATTTTCAAGAAAAATTTCTCTGTCAAATCGTTATCTGATCACATTATCATATGAAAACAAAATGCTCAGCATACTACTTATGTCTCCCAGTGTCAGTGTTTTTGCTGAAAGTGACTCTACAATAGCTTAGCACAAAAGAATATAGTGTTTAAACTTTTGAGTGAGATCCCTCACCTGGTTACTGTCATACATTTTAAGCCTGTCATGCAAATAGAGTGAAAGGAACCAATTCGTGCCTATCTGCAGTTGTGCTTTCATGAACAGCTACCAGTGGCCCACTGAGATTTTGCTCTTTTTTTGCAAGGCCATGTCACACAAATATAAACTGGAGTTAGTGATGTGTATTGCAACCAAATATAATCCATTGTAACCCTAGTCAAAAAACCATGTTCCAAGGCCAGGCTTGTTAAAATAGCTTGCATTTTGTGAGCCAAGATTTTCATTAGTCATAACTTGATTTCAGAGAATGATGATGTAACAACCACTTTTAGCCAAGAAATCGATGCTTGTATACCTCAGATAGTACTAGAGGGCACCTGTGGGTCCTGCAGCTTTGCTTATCTCAACAGGTTTATTGAGTTGTTGTTGTGGGACTTAACACCATTTTTAAGAACACAATAGGCTATACATGGCGGCCAGTATTAATGGTGGAGGAAGAAACAGGGAAATCAACGGAAAGAACCACAGATCCATGAGAAGCTACTGGCAAGCTATCTCACATATCCACATTCGTCGAATCCTAGACTCAAACCCACGCAGACAGGTGAGATGGCAGTGATCCATAATGGACAGAGCTTTAGACCACTAGGTTACTTAACTGGTTGCCTAGAGACAGCATCCTGTTTTGGGAAATGAAACCACATTATGACTTTAGAATGGCTAAGCAATCAGAGAGGTACAGCCACATAGTGTGGATCCATCCTGAGTGCATTCATGCTGAGTTATGTATAGATCCATCAGAGGGTTTGATTCTGGGCAAAAGGGAGTGAGAATGGTCTGGACATCATCAAAATTGGTCAGCAAGAAGGAAATATTCATGTCATAGCCAATATGGTCCCTTCCATGATGTTTTAATGTGTTTTGGAATGGTAGACACGACTTATGATCAGGGCTAATTTCTTTTCCAACAGAAATAGAAATATGTTAGCCAGCAGGGGAATGGTGGCTGAGAGTGGTGTGGCATTATTAACACCTCAACAGTCTCTAAAAGTTCTCCATTTGAAATAATTGAAATATAACAATGCACAACAATATAAGCAGTGAAAATTACGTTACCAATCAACATCATATAATGAACAGAATTAATGCAAAAAAAAATATTAATAAATTTGCAAGAAATGACATACGTGTTATATGCATAATATGAAACAACTTTCTTAGTTACTATATCACTGAAATGGAAAAGTGGATTGTCAAAATGAAGTATAAATTTAGACTGTGAGAGGTCACTGATGACAGTAGCTAGCCAATGTTAAAACTGGTTATATCCAGGACATCAGCAGGCATCAGTGTAAAGAGTTACATCCCTTAGTCATTAGATTATATAGATGAAAAGTCCACTTTCAGTCAGGACTGGATATAAAGGTAACAGAGAGTAATTCTAATGTTAATCTGAGCAGTTAATATATTTGGTGGAGAAACAAATATACTCAAATTTTAACCAAGTAAAATTATACTAACAAAAATGTACTCCAAATCAGACCAAACCAGCTGCAAAAAACTCAGTAAAAATATTCAGATTTCTAGTCTTGTATGGTGTCTGTCTCATAATTTGTGTTGATTCTGCAAAATTAAGTGTCTCATACCACAATGATGGTAAACTAAACCAGCCACTACAGTCACACTTTTAGGAGAAAAATCACTCTAAAACATCGAAGTTGGGCAAGTTTCCACCATGACCCTCTGATTCAGCTGGGTAGGCTTCAGGATTCACTGTGGTAGGAATTACATCAGCTGCATTCGGATGCAAAATGGTCCCATTTGTATACAAATCTTCAGACACTGAGCAACTAGAACGCCTATGGGTTGGATAGGGTTCAGTTTTGTCTCTATGTTTGTTCCATTTGCTGACCTTGACTGGGAGGTTGTTGGTCCCATGGGGATCCTGTTGTGAATTAAGGTTAAACATTTTTTCTCCTGCCAGGGTTGTTTGCTGAAAAGTCCGTACCCCTCCTCTACCCTGCAGGTTCTGGTGGCGCAAGAGCTGAGAATGTCCACTACTTGGTGCTATTCCAAGTTTATCCTGAGAACCAACATTGGCTTCTAAAAGCTTAAGAAAGGCAGCCATTCTGGATATTATCTGTGGATCCTTGGTCCTGTATTTTCTCACTGAAATAAAAAAGAACAATCATCTGTCTATTCTACTGTTCTACAAATATAATCCTCTGTAATTGTTTCCAAATCCCAAACACTGATCTTGATTTTGGCCCAAACACTAAAATTAACTGTAAATTAAATTAACTGTAACTGTAAATAAAATAAACTGTAACTGTAAATTTGGCCCATACACTAAAATTAACTGTAAAATTAACTAAACACCAAATACACCTTTTTATCTCTCAGGTATCCAGACAAAATACATATCCCTGATTGGTTAACATATTCAGTGTTTATGAATTGAGCTACTGATCACACAGCATAATTCTATTTCTAACATTTGTATTTACTCTGTGTATTCTCCAACTGATCACACAGCATAATTCTATTTCTAACATTTGTATTTACTCTGTGTATTCTCCAACTGATCACACAGCATAATTCTATTTCTAACATTTGTATTTACTCTGTGTATTCTCCAACTGATTACACAGTATCAGTCTATTTCCAACCCTTGTATTTACTGTGTGTTCCTAAATTGACCACATCCATAATTATATTTCTCTAGTGTGAAACAGCAGCCATATAGACCTAATTTTAATTTGGCCAATTTACTCTCTTTGACATGCATCTACATTTTTATAGATAATACAATCCAAAATACTGAAAGTTATTAGGAATGGAAACCCATATGGCAGTCACTGGCATACCCTCAATAAACTGCAGGGCCTGTTGTGAAGAAAATCGCCCCTCAGGATTTCCTACCAAGCACCCATTCAACAGCTCCTTAAAATTCATATCAATATCATCACTAATCAGATGACTTGCAAGGTTGGGGTTATATGCATGCTGAAAAAAAAAATAAAACATAAGACATATAAATTCTTTAACATGCACGTGCTGGATGAGAGAGATACAAGAATGATAAGGGTATTATCACATCACAGATTTTTTTCACACTGGCTTCTAAGCTATGAGAGAAAGATTTTCATATATTGCTTCTTTTGAAGGCAATAATTTGTGTACAGCAATAGAATAACTTATAAGCACTTGTCGCTTCAATATGCTTTAAGACTTCAATGTACACAAGTTAAAGGAACTTCAATAATTTTCACATTTTAAGACAAGAGGAAAATATATAACAAGCAACATATACAAGAAACTAATTGGGAGGAGATATTTGTTTGTGCATGTGTGTGTTACCAAATTCATAAACATCTGCAATGTGGGACTGAATTCAAGTCATAGATGCTACCAAACCTTTCAAAAAATTTAAAAATTGCATGCTTATGATGCAAGCTGAAACTTCAAAGTCCCATAAGAGCCATATACTAGTGAAATTCTGATAAGTTTAGATTGACAGGTGAA